GAGTGTGAGGTCTGGGATCAAATCCTGGTTTACCATGTCCAGGCAGGTTATATGACTTTTCTAGGCCTCATTTCTCCTGATAGAGATAATGAGTCCTAACTCATAGTTATTGTGAAGAATATGATGAGATAATATCTGGGAAAAAGGGCTCTGTGGTTCACAAAGACCAGTTCAAAGGTTAGTCATTATTAGCATATAAGGCAGAAGAAAATCCGAAGTGGATACAACAAGGAAACAGGCTTGTAAAGGCCAGTTCCAGTGGGGAATGCCCTGGGAACCAGGCTCTCCTAGTTCACAAAGTCTATTGTGATATGATACCAAAGCTATCTTAACTATACCCATATAAATAAAGAAATGGGCTGAGAAAATGTTAAATTTTTGCTAAGGTCCTGCAGTGGAGCTGGATCAGAATCCATGTCTGTGTGACCCTGAAAGACAAATGGGAAATTATGGTCTGGACTTAGAATCTAGCTATGTACTCCTAGTATATTTAATGGTGACCCAATGTAAGTAAGTAATCAATGGGAATTGCTCTTACTAGTTCAGGTCATTTGGAAGGATTGAGAATAATATCATTTGTAAGCAATCATAGTTTTATTACATTCAAATGTATACACAAAACTCAAATTCATTTTGTGTGGTAATTTTGTAAACTTCCTCAATCTTAAGAACTTGCTGAGGTGCTTAAAATACAGAATTTTGGGGCCAGCAGATGGTGTGGTGGTTAAGGCACTGGAATCCCACCTGGGTGACTGCGGTTTGGGTCCTCGACCTGGAGGATTGAAAATCACTCTGGGTACGTGTGCATGCATGCCCAAAATCCCAGGGGAGAATGGAGAAGGATTGGAGCATGGTGATCCCCACTGGGAACTGATTTCTCACTTTCCCCTCTCACTGTCTCTCTCTGGTGAGCACACACACCCTATGGCAAAAACCTTAAAACAAAACAAAAAAAAGAGTCCCAGCACTCTGGGCACCTGTGTGTGCATACCCATGATCCCAAGAGGAGAACGGAGAAGAAATTGTGGCATGGCCATCCGCCCAGAGGGTGATTTCTTGCTTTCTGTTTCTCTGTCTCTGTCCAGTGAGTGTACGTGCCCTATATCAAAAACCTCTCTCAAAAGAAGAAAAAAAATACAGTCCCAGGTTTTGGCTTAGTGATCTTTATTTAGTACGTCTGGAATAAGGCTGTGAATGATATATTTTAACACATATAGTACTTATGGAAAAATACCCATTTAATAGAATTCATTATAAGACCTGCTTTATGAAGGATAGAATATTTCTTTTAAAAACAAACAAAAAAAGGTGTCTGGTGGCACAGCATTTGAACATGACACTGCAAAGCTAACCCACATGGGAAGGTTCTGGGTTTGCATCCAGAGACCTCCCTGAGAGTGCTAGGCATGCTCATGCCCACGATCCAGGACTGGCTGAAGACGGGTGGATGACAGTGTCATGATCTGTTGGTGTTGTGTGTGTGTGTGTGTGTGTGTGTGTGTGTGTGTGTGTGTTTGTGTCTCAGAAGAAATAATTAAATGAACTTAGAACACACACATAAAATTAACCTGGGGCCAGTCCCAGGGCCTAGTGACTAAGGGAGTGAGATCCACATAGCCAACTGCATGATTTGAATGCTGGGCTCAGCAGCCTGAAAAACAAACCTATTTGTACCTCAAATTGCTACAGAGTGGAGAAAGGGAGGAGATAGGATTGTGGCATGACCATGCCCCATTGGAGGTGCTTTCTTCCTCCTCTTTCTCTCCCTCTCTGTTGAGTGCACATATCCTCTGGTAAAGAAAAGAAGAGAGGAGAAGAGAGAAAAGAGTAACCTGATGATTCTTCTAAAGTGCCTGTAAATATCTGATATTGAGAATAAATTTCTAAAGTAATTGAGGATCTGTTGTAAAACTTTGTTTAACAGAGTTATTCTTCATGCTCACCAAATGCTGTTCAGTTGGACCCGACACAGAGGGTGACTTTCTGTTTAGGCACCAGTGATTTTTCCTTCACTTTTACGCTTATATTCTTTTGAGTCTTGTGATAGGCCAAAGGACAGGATGGTCAATACCAAATTGGCAGAACCTGAATCGATGGTGTTTGGGCACCATCTGCAGAAGACTTGGCAATATGGTTTTTTGTTGTTACTAGATGGGACAGAAAGATGGGACTTGGTTTTATTTCTTAGCTAAGGAAAGCGTGCTGGTGACTGTTGGGTACCTGTGAGTTTCTCGTGTACATTTCTAAATTACGAATCTCTTGTAATTATAAAGAAATAAAACAGCGCCTTCTAGAAATGTCGACTAATACTCCACTTGTTCTTTAGTGGACTGTGTTGTAGAAGGAAGAGCACTGATTTTGAAACCAGAGGAACTCATGTTGAATTCCAATCCTGACTTCACTACTTATTAGATCAGAGTTCATTTGACAGGTTCCTTACAGACTCTCAGCCCATCACCTTGTCCATTATGCTGTTCTTATGGTAATCATACCAGCCTGCCACTGCCAGGTCTACAGTGATGTGGGATCTTTTTGCTCCCTTTTTCCTCCTCCTTCCCCTTTTGTTCCCTAACTCTTTAGTCCCACCCATGCCCCGGGTTGTGTCAGTTTTTCTAACATATTTCTTAAATGAAATGCAGGACTTTACATTCATCCCTGTTCTATTTCATCTTACTGGTTGTGGCCCAAAATTCCAGCTAGCTGAGATCCTCTTTTCCATTCGTGTTTAAGTTTCAAAAGAAAATTTGAAGAAAGCCAAAGCCTAAAAGGAAAATCCAGCCTTAATCCCAAGAGCCAAAGCCAACTGCACGTTCTGTCCTGAGAGTTCCTTCTTTCTCACCACAGGCAGCACCTCCTTGTCCGTGGCGCCGTGTCAGCCAGCCTCCCATGCCACATCTGCCTTCTGCCTTGTTCATCGAACATCACATGACAAACATTTCCCCTCTGCTGCCTGATTTTCATAGTTATCATCTTAACACCCCTCCCGGCAGCGATGGCCATGATTAACTTCTCATCTTTCCGTTGTTTGTTTTGTT